GTTTCATATTTTTAAGGTAAGGTATTAATTAAAATATGTAGTAAAACATTTATGTTAAATTATATTTAGGTATGTTAGTTTATTGGTGTTGGTATAAAAAACGTTTGTTGATATCAAACAATAAATGTCTTATTTTATTTAAATATTTTTTTTCTAAACCTCTTTTTCAGTTAAGACAAATTTTCTTTCTTGGAAAATTCCTTATAAAAATATTTATTATTTATATTTAGATTATTTATTAGTTTTATTGTTTGTGTTATACTTAGAAATATATACGGAACGACGTATTAAGTTACTACATTGTCTTTTAGTGGTCAACAGGCACCAATCCGTGAACAATAAATAAGACAGCACCAACATATTAAAAGCCCATAGAAAAACGTGTAGGTTTCGTTAATTTCAAAATAAAAATAATTAATAGAGCGATAAAGTGTTGTACTTTATGTGAATTGGATTGCTGGATAAATGTCATTAGCATAATTCTAAGGTTGTAAACTGACTGAAATAAGAATTTGTTTCATAAATTTCAGATGTAATGATTTTTCGAATTTTACTGACGTTAAAGTGCTTGGAGTGGTCTTCTCATGTTGTTTGCCAATTTATGGTAATGCACTTTTTTTTATTTAAAAGCCTATAGCAAACACGATTGTTTTTAACATGTTAACCTACACAAATTTACTAATTTTTTGTTATATTACATAGATCGAAATCACTTTAGGCAACTATAATTACTTCAAAGTTCAAACGTATGTATACATAAAAATGTATATGGGTGATTCCAGAAAAGTTGGGCAACTTTTGACCTCATTTTGTTTATATAGTTTTCGGAGAAAATTAAACAGTATTTTGTTATGAGAACATAGATAATATAATAAATATACTGTTCCAGACCGGGCCAGTCACTTTTTCAAACAGTTTCTGAAATATCTGTGTTTTCTAAATTTGAATGCAAGGGAAGTGACGAGTATACCAGGGTACTAATTAAATACATAATTTATTGGAAAATATAAGATTTATTGCAACTTTGAGCATATTATACATTAAATATCTTAAAATCAAATTATACCACACATCAGTGGCGGCTGGTGGATTTTGGGTATACCGATATCTCAATTAATAATTATGGGACCCACACCAAATTTATATGAGTTTATAATGACATTAAATAAACAAGTTCTGCGCAAGCAGAATTTAAATTGAAGTTTGCGATAAAAAGATAACCGAAACATCGAACATGGAACTGACGACACGGTACTGATGAATGGGATACAAATTTGAGATTATAATTCGGAATTAAGTATTTTACTGATATTTTTTATTAGTGGATGCTACTTATCAACAAATCACATATAGCCTTATATAAATTACAATGAAATATATATACGTAAGAAAATAAGTACTTACCACAGTACTGAAATTTTGACGTGCATTCACCACAACTTCGCCGCTTGCATTGTTTTCAAGATTACTGTCGTGCAAAGGGCGGGCTTTGTAGGTAATTTTTTACCAACACTTGAGTTAAAACGAGGACTTGACGTTTCAACTTCAATATTTCGCAGGAATTTTGAATTTTAACATTGGACACAGAACTGACGGGTAAAAGTGAATACAAAGATTATCAATTTTTAAAAAATTGCTATTATTCGAATCTTTGATAAAATATGAAAAATACATTATTTAATGTTTATAGTTTGTAGTGAAATTGAAAAATTTAAGATAAATTGAATATATTTCAAAATAAAATCACTGAAATATTTGATTCAGGAGTTGTGACACGCCAAGGTACATAAAAATGTATATGCATTTTTAATTAATTACTGAAAATAATGATTGTAGATAAAAGAAACACTTAAAGCAGAATTCATAAATAAAATCACGAAGATTAGAATTTCAATTGTTCTTGAAATGCGTTCAATTTTCTTATCGGAGTTTTTAATTGCCTTTTAGGAATAATGGTCTAGCCAATGCAAAATCCGCCCACATAAATTTATTTTAATATATTGTTCCGATTACCAATTTCATTTTTGTATAAATAAATTAACGATCAATCGGTATTTGATACCCCCAATTATTCAGCCTCCACGAAGTCCAGACTTAACTATTATAGAGATATTAATTATTAATTTTTTTATTATTATATCATAATATTATACTATATGCAACATTGTAAGTAATGTTTAGTGTTTATTTGCATTACTTAAATATTGAACTGTAAATTTTGTATTGTTGCTTAATAGTTGAGAATGTTCCAAGCTTTGACTCGTAAGTAATTTATATTGTACCTGGAAAGTTATAGGACGGTAAATAAATTGTGCCAGGGAAAATAATAGAGACATATATAAGCGAGAAAACACAAATGTGTATTTGGATAAGTTGAATGGAAGTGTCATAATAAACATCTTTATAAATTAGTAATGGAATGAGGCCTTTATACGCCATAACACTCAGTAGATGTTAAATGTATTCATAAAATACATCAAGGCACTGGCCTACGTGCTTACCCACATATATCAAAAATATTTATGCCTTTTTTATTGATGTAAAATTTCGATTAAATCCAAATTAAATATTTTAATGCCATGACACACCCAGTTTGTTCCAAGACGCCGTTAAACCTACATTATCACATCCAACCTATCCGCAGGGTGCCCAACGAAATATTACCATAAATATCAAAATCGATATTGACCACAAAATTTATTTAAATCTGAGTTTTTTACCAAATTTGGCAATTTTAACATGTCTCTTAAAAGAAATGAAAATCACTTTGATTCAAAAGAGGTATGTTTCTTAATCTTAATCAGAAACTATATTTACATAATTTTTTTTTTTTTTAATTACTTAAATTCTCCTCACCACATGGGCCTTTTGATTTTAATTAATGAAATTTGGGTCATTTTCAAGAAACACCCGCTTTCAGGAAAATGAAGATCAAAATATTTTTTTTGCTTAAATTGACTTTTGGTTGGATTTTTATAAATGTTTGTTTACTTACATTTAAGACAGGCAGTGCACTTTTTATTTTTTTTACGTTTTTTTTCAGAAAAATGTGTTTAGCTAGCTTTATATATCTCCACTGTGTTACCAATTTGAAATCCAAAATAAATAAAATAAGTTGTTATAAAAATAAATTGAAATAAAATGTACTTAGTTCACAAACTTTCGACTCCATTTTTTTATTTTATTTTTTATTAAAAATTGTATGCTTTTTTTTAAATATGTATGATCGTTAAGTTACTTTTTAAAAGAAACCATTCCGATTCTTTGTTAAAAAAACAGTACCATTGATATTTTCTTTTAGTCACTGTATTAGTGAATTAAACTCTAATTTATAAACACGTATTACCAAGTGATAGTGTATAAAAATCATTTTAAGTATATTTTTAACAAAAACTAAAAAAAGTAACGAAATAGACATTGGTGTCACAACGGACAGGGGTACACAAAGGACTTATCAGATAACGTAAAAAAAACTATATAGGGTGGTACGATTTTAGAGTAATGCATAAACAAAATCCCTCATAATGGTGCTCACTTGCTGAATATCAACTTAGATTTCTAAATTGTAGACACCCTTTTTCTTTGACTATAAGCTGGTGAAGGTCCCTTTTAGTACTTTTATATTGCGTGAAATTTTTCCTTGGATGTAATCTATATCATGAGTTGTAATTACAAATAATTTTAAATTGGTTAATCATAAACTACTTTTAATAAAAGCGACGGTAAATATCCACTTTGTTGTCGAAAAATTCTATTGCGTTACCCTAAATTCCATTGCCTTACCATAAGGTAACATAGTGGACTCGGTAACGCAGTGGACAAAGTTTTGTAAAACCATTTTTAAAAAATAATAATAAGACATTATAGTCATTAATTACTCTCAATGAGCTTTAGTGCCCTAAAAATAGTATTTTTTCTTACCCTATTTTTATTATTTTTTTGAGTAACTTAGCGGACAAACAGTTATTACATTCGCGTTACCCGCACCTGTTTCAACTGATATCTTCTTCCTGATTGAATAAATAAATTCAGCTGAGTAATGTGTACGTCCGAACATCATTTGTTGATCACTTGAGTACCAAAAAAGTTGCCATATATAAGTTTTTTTTAATATTCTATCGGTAACGCGACGGACGTAACGCAACGGAAAAAATGTCTGGGACATGAGTCAAATTTAAAAAAAGTAGATTAAAATTAATTATTTTATATATAAATTGTTTACTGTATTAACTAAGGATGTTATGGATTGCTATAAAGCAACACAAAGTTCTGGTTATTCAATATTAAAAAAAAAACATGTATGTAAGTTTTATAAAACGCTAATTGGACATGCAAAAATGTGTGTTTCACAAGTTTCAAAATTAAAAAAAAAATATTCTGAAATAACTAAACAAAAATTTTCTGAAAAAGTTTACCAAATACTCTTTTATGCTAAAATATTGTTTCTTGCCGCTAATAATTTTTTATTTAGAGGTACAACTGTGTGGCTATAACGATAATCAAAAACATAACTTAACACCAAATATTAGTTTCTTGAAAGCAATAAAGAGAGAAAATTATTTGTCTTTGGGCTTAATTTCATTTTAAAAGGATCAGTCTGCATAAATAAGGCCTCAGACCCAAATGAATTCAAAATCAATTGGTAAAAGATGCTAATTCGTAAAAATGAGCCTGTTTCACGGTGTATGATGGTAGTGTTATAACATTAAAATATATGAATTTAAGTGAGGGATTTTGTCAAATTTAAATACATTATCATATTTTATGCTTCATTAGATTAGGTTTAAAAAATAATAGCTTCTATTCAAAATAAATAAAGTAGTTTTAGCAATGCATTAAAACTTCAAAAGCTAAAGGATTTCTATTCTATTGGTCTTATAATATAAATGAAAACAAATATTTCTACATTATTTATTCTACTGCTGGTTGACATATTCTGAATGATATTTCCTGAAGAGAACAGCTTCTGTACTAGCCAAATTTGCTTGTTTATATACTTTTTATAAACCAAACGATTTTACCAAAAAATCTTCTACAAAATTTTCAACTTGATCAAACAATTCCTCTCCTTTCGTTGGTTTTCTTTCATTAGGAACTGCCATGATCGTAACGCAGTAATTTTGTGGTTCTTGAGGTTTCACATGCTTATTTTTTGTCATCTTTGACTTGACTTTAGGCAACGGGGTTGTAGTTAATTGAGTGGTGGTGGATGAAGTTATAGGTACACTGGTTGTTGAATTTGGAATTGTTGTGGTTGGTGTTGTAGATTGTGTAATATTTGTAGTGGGGCTCGGGTATGTAGTCATTAAATCAATCGTTGTTGTTGGTGTTGTATTGGTTGTGGTAGTTATTGGTATTGCATCAGTTGTAGTTGGATATTCTGTAGCATTATCAACAACGCTTCTGGACGGCCTGCTTGAATTAAAATTCTCGACAATGATGGTGTTATTCACGTAAGTCACAGTGCCATTTATTTTCGCGGTGGATATACAGGGAATGCTTACCGTGGTAGCATTCTGAGGATTGTTCTTGCATCTTGGATCTTTAGAATTTACGCAAGGTATCGTGCTTGTAACACAGTTGGTATCTTTTTCGTCTTTGCAAGGTACTGTGGCGGATATACTGGCCACACACATTATAACTCCTTGTTCCGTACATAAGGATCTTGTGTTAGCTGGGCAAATGCTTCCACTATCACCAACACAACCTACCACAGTGTTTGGTTCTATGATCCGTTCCCTTTCTATGATTCTTTCGTTGTTGTTGTGGTAATAGTGGTGGACGGTATAGTGGTCATACCTTGGCCTGTATCCATCATAGGAGTTATGGAAATAGTAATACGTCGGGTTTCTTACTCTACCTAAGGTATATCCCAAATAGAAGCCTAAACTTGTGCTTCCGGTATCCGAGTTGTGGTAGTGATAACTCGGGTATCCGTAGCTCCAACTTGGTGATGGACTATGCACGATGTTGTTATTATTGATTATAACGTTGCTTCCAGCATTATGACTGGGCGGATAGTGGCCTGGATAGGCTGGTGGGGGATATCCGTGACCTGGATATGCTGGTGGAGGGTATCCGTGACCTGGATAGGCTGGTGGAGGATATCCGTGACCCGGATATGCAGGCGGATATGATGGAGGTCCTTGGAATGTTCCTTGAGTGTAACTTGGTTTAGGAGGGCCTTGTGCTTTAATAAATCGTAGTTATTACAAAATTTCTAAAGATTGTAAATATCTTACGTGCACTTCCCAAGGTTGGTTTTTTCTGAGATGTTAAAATGCTGCCGTGAGTTTTGCCCGAATTGTCTAAAATTAATTTTTCAGTTTTCTATAAGAACAACGCGTTTGTACTCACGTAAAGGTTTAGAATTTAGTGGAGGTCCTTTTGGTGCTGGCTTTGCATTTGACGATGGAGATGGATAAGATGGGTAAGAAGGTCTTAAGCCAGGTTTAGATACCGATGGGCCTGCCGGGTGCCATCCTACGTTGGGTCCAGCAGGTTTTGCTGATGGACGAGCGGGAGAAGGAAGAGAGGGGTAAGGATGGGAAGGGCGGGAAGGAGGAGAGTAAGAAGGGCGGGAAGGAGAAGAGTAAGAAGGAGAAGAGTAAGAAGGGCGGGAAGGAGAAGAGAAAGAAGGGTAGGAAGGGCGGGAAGGAGAAGAGTAAGAAGGGAGGGAAGGAGAAGGGTGGGAAGGAAAAGAGTAAGAAGGCCGGGAAGGGGAGGGGTGGGAAGGAGAAGAGTAAGAAGGGCGGGAGGGGGAATGATAAGAAGGGCGGGAAGGAGAAGGTCGAGAATAAGATGATGAGGAATGCCTTGAACCTAAAACATAACCTTTTGTTTGTTTGCGTTTCTCTTATTTAGGAAAATAAGCAAGTTTTGTATCTTTAACTTTATTTTTAATGATTTTTTTAAATTTGACTCAAATGTATTAAGCTTAAAGTTTGTATAAAGCTGATTCAAATAAATTATAACTCAAATAGAGAATATTGGAATTTGTATTTATTGTTTATGTAGTATATTTTTAAAGATTAGCGTATTAAATTTATTTAACTAAACTTAAACTTACCTCCACCAGATCTTCTGGAATCACAAACCCCCAATATATACAACAACACCACACAAAAATATAAAGATTTTTTTCTCATTTTAATAAACCGTCATTAATAAACTCTTATTGAGAGTATACTTCGGACTAAAATTTTTCTGATATTTTTTGATAAATATTTCAAGTCACAGGTCAAGGTAAGGTTTTATTTTAGTAGCAATTTTATCGTTATTAAGTCATTGGCGCCAAGAATTTATCTAATAATTTCGGGACTAAAATGTTATAAAGTCACAGCTTGTCAATGTGTATTTAAAAGGTCACTTAGGGTCATGAAACTGGGGCAAAAAATAATACATTACACAAATTCCGTCAATAGTATAACTTTTCAAAATTTTAAAAGCCCTTCCACTTATTAAGAGGCCTCCGATCCATTTATAAAACCGTTGACATTTTTTTAGTATTTTCAAAATAATTAAATTTGTATGACAGCGTAAGTATAATAATTTAAAAAATCTTTTTTAAGATAGGTATATGTTGAAAATTCAAAGGGTTCTTGCTGTTTTTTTCACAAGACTTATAAAAACAATAAGGTCTTTTAATTATTAGGCCAATTAAATTTGATAAGTACAATGATGTGTTAAATATTTTAATGATTTATTATTGAACATTACGATACCTGCATCGACTGGATATCTAAATATTTTAAGATTTTGTAAAAACACTTAATTTTTCCAATACCTTAATTTCGACATTATTTTAAAACTTATACTATTATTTTGCCAATTTAAAAAATATTTAGAGTACCTACAGCCAAATTTTTTGCTTATAAACCAAACGATTTTACCAAAAAATTGTCTACAAAATGTTCAACTTCATCAAACAATACCTCTCCTTTCGTTGGTTTTCTTTCATCAGGAACTGCCATAATCGTAACGCAGTAATTTTGTGGTTCTTCAGTGGATAAAATTTTGGGGACACTGGTTGTTGAATTTGGAATTGTTGTTGTTGGTGTTGTAGATTGTGTAATATTTGTTGTTGAGCTCGGGTATGTAGTCATTAAATCAATTGTTGTCGGTGGTGTTGTAGTTTGTATAATATTTGTTGTGGAGCTCGGGTATGTAGTCATTAAATCAATAAATGTTGTCGCTGGTGTTGTAGTCATTAAATCAATTATTGTTGTAGCTGGTGTTGTAGTTTGTGTAAAATGTGTTGTGGTGCTCGGGTATGTAGTCATTAAATCAACTGTTGTAGTTTGTGTAATATTTGTTGTGGAACTCGGGTATGTAGTTATTGGTATTGCATCAGTTGTAGTTGGATAATCTGTAACATTATCAAGAACACTCCTGGCAGGCCTGCTTGCAAGAAAACTCTCGACAATGATGGTGTTATCCACGTAAGTCACAGTGCCATATATTTTCGCGGTGGATATACAGGGAATGCTTACTGTGGTAAACTTCTGAGGATTGCCCTTGCATTTTGGATCTTCAGAATTTACGCAAGGTATCGTGCTTGTAACACAGTTGGTATCTTTTTCGTCTTTGCAAGGTACTGTGGCGGATATAAGGGCCACACACATTATAACTCCTTGATCTGTGCACAAGGATCTTGTGTTAGCTGGGCAAATGCTTCCACTATCACCAACACATCCTACCACAGTGTTTGGTTCTATGATTCGTTCTCTTCCTATGATTGTTTCGTTGTTGTTGTGGTAATAATGGTGGACAGTATAGTGGTCATACCTTGGCCTGTATCCATCATAGGAGTTGTGGGAATAGTAATACGTTGGGTTTTTCACTCTACCTAAGGTATATCCTAAATAGAAACCTAAACTTGTGCTTCCAGTATCCGCTCTTTGGTAGTGATAACTCGGGTATCCAATCCAATTATTATTTATATCCTTTCTTCCAGTATTACTTGGCGGATAGTGACCTGGATAAGCTGGTGGAGCATGTCCTGGATAATAAGTTTGTTGTGAAAATGGTGGATTTCCTTGGAATGTTCCTTGAGTGTAACTTAATTTAGGAGGTCCTTGTGCTTTAATAAATTGTAGTTAATACAAAACTTTTAAAGATTTTAATTATTCTTACGTGCATTTCCTGAGGTTGTTTTTTTCTGAGACGTTAAAATGCTGCCATGAGTTTTGCCCGAATTTTCTAAAATTATTTTTTTAGTTTTCCAAAAGATTAACATAGTTTTACTTACTTAAAGGTTTAGATTTTACTGGAGATCCTTTTGGTGCTGGCTTCGCATTTGGTCTTAAAGCAGGTTTAGAGACCGATGAGCCTGCAGGTTGCGATCCTACGTTTGGTCCTTCAGGTTTTGCTGATGATCGTGTGGGAGAAGGAGAAGGGTGGGAGGAAGCTGATGGAGGTCCTCGGAATTTTCCTTGATCGTAACTTGGTTTAGGAGGACCTTGTGCTTAAATAAATTGTAGTTAATACAAAACTTCTAAAGATTTTAATTATTCTTACTAGAATTTCCTAAGGTTGTGTTTTTCTGAGATGTTGGAATCCTGTCATGAGTTTTGCCCGAATTCACTAAAAATAACTTTTAAGTTTTCCAAAAGAACAACATGTTTTTACTTACGCAAAGGTTTAGATTCTACTGGAAGTCCTTTTGGTGCTGGCTTCGCTTTTGGCGAAGGAGATGGATAAGATGGGTAAGAAGGTCTTAAGCCAGGTTTAGATACAGATGGGCCTGCAGGGTGCCATCCTACGTTGGGTCCTGCAGATTTTGCTGATGGGCGAGCAGGAGAAGGAAGAAGGGAGGGGGAAGGATGCGAAGAGTGGGATGAAGAAGAGTTAGAAGGGCGAGAGGAAGCTGGTGAAGCAGGTCCCGGATAATAAGTTTGTTGTGGATATGGTTGCGGTCCTCGGAATGTCCCTTGTGCTTTAATAAATTGTAGTTAATACAAAACTTCTAAAGATTTTAATTATTCTTACTCGAATTTCCTAAGGTTGTGTTTTTCTGAGATGTTGGAATCCTGTCATGAGTTTTGCCCGAATTCTCTAAAAATAACTTTTAAGTTTTCCAAAAGAACAACATGTTTTTACTTACGCAAAGGTTTAGATTCTACTGGAAGTCCTTTTGGTGCTGGCTTCGCATTTGGCGAAGGAGTTGGATAAGATGGGTAAGAAGATCTTAAGCCAGGTTTAGAGACCGATGGGCTTGCAGGTTGCCATCCTACGTTGGGTCCTGCAGATTTTGCTGATGGGCGAGCGGGAGAAGGATGCGAAGAGTGGGATGAAGAAGAGTTAGAAGGGCCAGAGGAAGCTGGTGGAGCATAATAAGTTTGTTGTGGATATGGTTGCGGTCCTCGGAATGTCCCTTGTGCTTTAATAAATTGTAGTTAATACAAAACTTCTAAAGATTTTAATTATTCTTACTCGAATTTCCTAAGGTTGTGTTTTTCTGAGATGTTGGAATCCTGTCATGAGTTTTGCCCGAATTCTCTAAAAATAACTTTTAAGTTTTCCAAAAGAACAACATGTTTTTACTTACGCAAAGGTTTAGATTCTACTGGAAGTCCTTTTGGTGCTGGCTTCGCATTTGGCGAAGGAGTTGGATAAGATGGGTAAGAAGATCTTAAGCCAGGTTTAGAGACCGATGGGCTTGCAGGTTGCCATCCTACGTTGGGTCCTGCAGATTTTGCTGATGGGCGAGCGGGAGAAGGATGCGAAGAGTGGGATGAAGAAGAGTTAGAAGGGCCAGAGGAAGCTGGTGGAGCATAATAAGTTTGTTGTGGATATGGTTGCGGTCCTCGGAATGTCCCTTGTGCTTTAATAAATTGTAGTTAATACAAAACTTCTAAAGATTTTAATTATTCTTACTCGAATTTCCTAAGGTTGTGTTTTTCTGAGATGTTGGAATCCTGTCATGAGTTTTGCCCGAATTCTCTAAAAATAACTTTTAAGTTTTCCAAAAGAACAACATGTTTTTACTCACGCAAAGGTTTAGATTCTACTGGAAGTCCTTTTGGTGCTGGCTTCGCATTTGGCGAAGGAGTTGGATAAGATGGGTAAGAAGATCTTAAGCCAGGTTTAGAGACCGATGGGCTTGCAGGTTGCCATCCTACGTTGGGTCCTGCAGATTTTGCTGATGGGCGAGCGGGAGAAGGATGCGAAGAGTGGGATGAAGAAGAGTTAGAAGGGCCAGAGGAAGCTGGTGGAGCATAATAAGTTTGTTGTGGATATGGTGAAGGTCCTCGGAAGGTTCCTTGTGCTTTAATAAATTGTAGTTAATACAAAACTTCTAAAGATTTTAATTATTCTTACTCGAATTTCCTAAGGTTGTGTTTTTCTGAGATGTTGGAATCCTGTCATGAGTTTTGCCCGAATTCTCTAAAAATAATTTTTTAGTTTTCCAAAAGAACAACATGTTTTTACTTACTTAAAGGTTTAGATTGGACTGACTTTGCATTTGGCGATAAAGATTGACTTTTCTTCGTTGGGTTCCATCCTTTGTCAGCTTTAGGAGACCCTGAAGTTTTTTGTTTGGCCAAAGATGATTTTGAAACCTTGGAATGGTGAATCTGTTTTGCTGATGGTAAGAAGATCGGAATGGAGAGTATGGAGTTAATACAAAATATCTAAAGATTATAATTATTCTTACTTGAATTTCCTAAGCTTGTTTTTTTCTGAGATGTTTTGCCCGAATTCTCTAAAATTAATTTTTAGTTTTCCAAAAGAACAACATGTTTTTACTTACTTCTAGGTTTAGATTTTCCTTGATTACTTTTTGGTGTTTGCTTTGCATTTAGTAAGTCAGGTGTAGAGTACGGTAGGCCTGCTGGACTTTGCTTTGGTGTTTTCCGCTCAATGTTTACTTTGGTAGACTTTCCTGTGGGCAAAAATGATTTTAAAGGGCCAATCTGTTCTGCCGATGGACAAGGGACAAAAAGAGAATTGGATGATGAGAATATTGGAGTTTGTATTTAATGTTTTTTTTCATACCATTTAACTAAACTAAAAACTTACCCGATCTCCTGGAATCACAAACCCCCAATATAAACAACACCACACAAAAATACAAAAAAAAGTTTCTCATTTTAACAAACCGTCATTAATACACTCCTATTGGGAGTATACTTCGGACTAACTAAAATTTTTCTGAAATTTTTTGATAAAATTTTGATAAATATTTCTTAAGTCACAGGTGATTTTGAAACCTTGGAATGGTGAATCTGTTTTGCTGATGGTAAGAAGTTCGGGATGGAGAGTATGGGGTTAATACAAAATATCTAAAGATTATAATTATTCTTACTTGAATTTCCTAAGCTTGTTTTTTTCTGAGATGTTTTGCCCGAATTCTCTAAAATTAATTTTTAGTTTTCCAAAAGAACAACATGTTTTTACTTACTTCTAGGTTTAGATTTTCCTTGATTACTTTTTGGTGTTTGCTTTGCATTTAGTAAGTCAGGTGTAGAGTACGGTAGGCCTGCTGGACTTTGCTTTGGTGTTTTCCGCTCAATGTTTACTTTGGTAGACTTTCCTGTGGGCAAAAATGATTTTAAAGGGCCAATCTGTTCTGCCGATGGACAAGGGACAAAAAGAGAATTGGATGATGAGAATATTGGAGTTTGTATTTAATGTTTTTTTTCATACCATTTAACTAAACTAAAAACTTACCCGATCTCCTGGAATCACAAACCCCCAATATAAACAACACCACACAAAAATACAAAAAAAAGTTTCTCATTTTAACAAACCGTCATTAATACACTCCTATTGGGAGTATACTTCGGACTAACTAAAATTTTTCTGAAATTTTTTGATAAAATTTTGATAAATATTTCTTAAGTCACAGGTGATTTTGAAACCTTGGAATGGTGAATCTGTTTTGCTGATGGTAAGAAGTTCGGGATGGAGAGTATGGGGTTAATACAAAATATCTAAAGATTATAATTATTCTTACTTGAATTTCCTAAGCTTGTTTTTTTCTGAGATGTTTTGCCCGAATTCTCTAAAATTAATTTTTAGTTTTCCAAAAGAACAACATGTTTTTACTTACTTCTAGGTTTAGATTTTCCTTGATTACTTTTTGGTGTTTGCTTTGCATTTAGTAAGTCAGGTGTAGAGTACGGTAGGCCTGCTGGACTTTGCTTTGGTGTTTTCCGCTCAATGTTTACTTTGGTAGACTTTCCTGTGGGCAAAAATGATTTTAAAGGGCCAATCTGTTCTGCCGATGGACAAGGGACAAAAAGAGAATTGGATGATGAGAATATTGGAGTTTGTATTTAATGTTTTTTTTCATACCATTTAACTAAACTAAAAACTTACCCGATCTCCTGGAATCACAAACCCCCAATATAAACAACACCACACAAAAATACAAAAAAAAGTTTCTCATTTTAACAAACCGTCATTAATACACTCCTATTGGGAGTATACTTCGGACTAACTAAAATTTTTCTGAAATTTTTTGATAAAATTTTGATAAATATTTCTTAAGTCACAGGTGATTTTGAAACCTTGGAATGGTGAATCTGTTTTGCTGATGGTAAGAAGTTCGGGATGGAGAGTATGGGGTTAATACAAAATATCTAAAGATTATAATTATTCTTACTTGAATTTCCTAAGCTTGTTTTTTTCTGAGATGTTTTGCCCGAATTCTCTAAAATTAATTTTTAGTTTTCCAAAAGAACAACATGTTTTTACTTACTTCTAGGTTTAGATTTTCCTTGATTACTTTTTGGTGTTTGCTTTGCATTTAGTAAGTCAGGTGTAGAGTACGGTAGGCCTGCTGGACTTTGCTTTGGTGTTTTCCGCTCAATGTTTACTTTGGTAGACTTTCCTGTGGGCAAAAATGATTTTAAAGGGCCAATCTGTTCTGCCGATGGACAAGGGACAAAAAGAGAATTGGATGATGAGAATATTGGAGTTTGTATTTAATGTTTTTTTTCATACCATTTAACTAAACTAAAAACTTACCCGATCTCCTGGAATCACAAACCCCCAATATAAACAACACCACACAAAAATACAAAAAAAAGTTTCTCATTTTAACAAACCGTCATTAATACACTCCTATTGGGAGTATACTTCGGACTAACTAAAATTTTTCTGAAATTTTTTGATAAAATTTTGATAAATATTTCTTAAGTCACAGGTGATTTTGAAACCTTGGAATGGTGAATCTGTTTTGCTGATGGTAAGAAGTTCGGGATGGAGAGTATGGGGTTAATACAAAATATCTAAAGATTATAATTATTCTTACTTGAATTTCCTAAGCTTGTTTTTTTCTGAGATGTTTTGCCCGAATTCTCTAAAATTAATTTTTAGTTTTCCAAAAGAACAACATGTTTTTACTTACTTCTAGGTTTAGATTTTCCTTGATTACTTTTTGGTGTTTGCTTTGCATTTAGTAAGTCAGGTGTAGAGTACGGTAGGCCTGCTGGACTTTGCTTTGGTGTTTTCCGCTCAATGTTTACTTTGGTAGACTTTCCTGTGGGCAAAGATGATTTTAAAGGGCCAATCTGTTCTGCCGATGGACAAGGGACAAAAAGAGAATTGGATGATGAGAATATTGGAGTTTGTATTTAATGTTTTTTTTCATACCATTTAACTAAATTAAAAACTTACCCGATCTCCTGGAATCACAAACCCCCAATATAAACAACACCACACAAAAATACAAAAAAAAGTTTCTCATTTTAACAAACCGTCATTAATAAACTCCTATTGGGAGTATACTTCGGACTAACTAAAATTTTTCTGAAATTTTTTGATAAAATTTTGATAAATATTTCTTAAGTCACAGGTCAAGGTAAGGTATTATTTTAATAGCAATTTTATCGTTATTAAGTCATTGGCGACAAGAATTTATCTAATAATTTTGGGACTAAAAAGTTATAAAGTCACAGCTTGAAAATGTGTATTTAAAATGGAAAATATTTACTTAGAAGGTCTGGAAACAATTAAATTTGATAAAAACAATGATGTTTTTAAATATTTTTTTTATTTATTATTAAACATTACAATACATGCATTAACTAGGTAACATTGAATGTACAGCCAAATTTTTTGTTTATAAACTAAGCACTTTTACCAAAAACTGTTCTACAAAATTTTCAATTTGATCAAAGAATATTTCTCCCTTTCATGGTTGTCTTTCACCAGGAACTGCCAGAATCGTTACACAATAATTTTGTGGTTTTTCAGTTTTAGGGGCACTGGTTGTTGAATTTGGATATTTTTCAGAATTATCAAGATTTGCATGAAAACTCTTCACAATGATAGTGTTATTCACGTTATTCGCAGTGCCATTTATTTTCGCGGTGGATATACAGGGAATGCTTACTGTGGTAAACTTCTGAGGATTGCCCTTGCATCTTGGATCTTCAGAATTTACGCAAGGTATCGTGCTTGTAACACAGTTGGTATCTTTTTCGTCTTTGTAAGGTACTGTGGCGGATATACTGGCCACACACATTATAACTCCTTGATCTGTGCACAAGGATCTTGTATTGGCTGGGCAAATGCTTCCACTATCACCAACACATCCTACCACAGTGTTGGGCTCTATAATTCGTTCTCTTCCTATGATTGTTTCGTTGTTGTTGTGGTAATAATGGTGGACAGTATAGTGGTCATACCTTGGCCTGTATCCATCATAGGAGTTGTGGGAATAGTAATACGTTGGGTTTTTTACTCTACCTAAGGTATATCCTAAATAGAAACCTAAACTTGTGCTTCCAGTATCCGCTCTTTGGTAGTGATAACTCGGGTATCCAATCCAATTATTATTTATAACCTGTCTTCCAGTATTACTTGGCGGATAGTGACCTGGATAAGCTGGTGGAGCATGTCCTGGATAATAAGTTTGTTGTGGATATGGATTTCCTCGGAATGTTCCTTGAGTGTAACTTGATTTAGGAGGACCTTGTGCTTTAATAAATTGTAGTTAATACAAAACTTTTAAAGATTTTAATTATTCTTACGTGCATTTCCTGAGGTTGTTTTTTTCTGAGACGTTAAAATGCTGCCATGAGTTTTGCCCGAATTTTCTAAAATTATTTTTTTAGTTTTCCAAAAGAACAACATGTTTTTACTTACTTAAAGGTTTAGATTGGACTGGCTTTGCATTTGGCGATAAAGATGAACTTTTCTTCGTTGTGTTCCATCCTTTGTGAGCTTTGGGAGACCTGGCAGGTTTTGGTTTGGCCAAAGATGATTTTGAAACCTTGGGATGGTGAATCTGTTTTGCTGATGGTAAGAAGATCGGAATGGAGAGTATGGAGTTAATACAAAATATCTAAAGATTATAATTATTCTTACTTGAATTTCCTAAGCTTGTTTTTTTCTGAGATGTTAAAATGCTGCCATGGGTTTTACCCGAATTCCCTAAAATTTATTTTTAGTTTTCTAAAAGAACAACATATTTTTACTTACGTAAAGGTTAGATTTTACTTAAATATTTGCATTTGGTAGGCCTACTGGACTTTTCTTTGGTGTTTTACCCTCTTTGTTAACGTTGTTCCTAGCAGACTTTTCTGTGTAAAGAGAATTAGATGAATACTTCGGTAAACTAGGAGAAATATTAGGAAGTGGGAGAATATATTCTGTGGATCTTGTACTTGTTTTTACATTTTTAAGACGATTTATTGTTTGTGTGTTGTTAAATGGGAAAACAAATTTGTCCCTTATTTGGGTACCTTTTTGTTATTTTGATTTTTGTACAATTTTTATAATAAATAAAAAAATTAATTTTTTTTTTAATTTTGAAACTTGTGAAACACACATTTTCGCATGCCCCATTAGCGTTTTATAAAACTTACATACATGTTTTTTTTTAAATATTGAATAACCAGAACTTTGTGTTGCTTTATAGCACTCCATAACATC